TGGTCTTCACAGTTACTTGCTCTGCATCAGAAAGCTGGACAATGACTAGGGATGAAAGAGGAGAATTAATGTCTTTGAGTTGTGCTGGAGAATATTGAATATACCATGAACTGCTAGGAGAATGAACAAGTTCGTCCTGAAGAGGGTGAAACCAGGCTATTCCTTGGAGGCAAGGATTCTAAATCTTCATCTGACATACTTCAAGCACGTTGCCAGGAGAGACCAGTCTTTTGAGGGGGACATGCTTGGGAGGGTGGAGGGACAGCACAAGAGAGGAAGATCCTCAATGAGATGGATTTGACTCAGTGACTGAGGTAATGAGGGTAGGTATGCCAGAGACAGTAAAATTGGCTAGAATAGAGCAGGGTTTAGAGCTTGTTGTACAAAGGGTCACTATGAGTCACTAACAACTTGATGGCACATAACAACAACAGCAACTACATGTATACCGTAGCATTTGTGCTCATGCAAAATCTATCCCTAGACCAAGAAGGTATTGTCCCAACAGAGCAAGGGAATACTGCATGATTCAAAATCAAGAAAGATGTGTGTCAGGAGTGTGTATCCTTTTCTCTATACCTTTTCAATCTATATGCAAACCTTATCATTTGGGAGACTGAATTTTATGAAAAAGAATATGACATCGGGATTGGAGCAAAACTCGTCAAAAACCTGCATTATGCAGATGACACAACCTTTCTTACCAAAACTAAGGAGGAACTGAAGCATTTGTTGCAGAAGGTCAAGGACTGCCGTCTTCGATACGAATTGCATCTCAACATGAAGAAAACAAAGATTCTCACTGCCTGACCAATAGGCAGTAATCATAATAGATGGAGAAAGGATTGAGGTTGTTAAGAACTTCATCTTGCTTGCATCCACAGTCAACACTCTTGGCACCAGCCATTAAGAAATCAAAAGACAAATTGTATTAAGAAAAATCTATTGTCCAAGATCTCTCTGGAGTCCTAAAGAGCCGTGATGTCATTCTAGAGACTAAGGTTCGCTTGATCCAGGCCATGGTCGTCTCAGTTGCTTGCTATGCATTATAGAGCTGCACAGTGACTAAGGATGACAGAAGAATTGATGCCTTTCATTTGTGGTGCTGAAGTAGAGTGTTGAACATGACAAGAGAACAAATAGATTTGTCCTGGAGAGGGTGAAACCAAGCTGCTCTTTGGAGGCAAGAATTTTGAAGCTTCATCTCACATACTTTGGGCATGTCACCAGGAAGGACCAGTCCTTGAAGAAAGACATGATAATTGAAAGGGTAGAGCGTCAGCACAGAAGACGATGGCCCTGGGTGAGATGGATTGATACAGTGACTGGCAATGGGTTGAGGTCTGTCAGAGATGTTAAGATTGGCTCAGGATAGAGCAGAGTTCAAAGCCATTGTTCATTGGGTCACTATGTGTTGTGGTTGACTCGACGACACATAGCTATACATGTATTTGAGTTACCCTCTTACATATTTAAATTTCTGTAGATACAGTTATTAACAGAAGAAGAAACATGATAAATGGATGTACTAGAATGTTGGACATTCGTGATGGGAAGAAAAAGTAGATAGATGAAAGGGAAGAAGGGTGAACTTGAATTTAGGAGCTCCTTTAGTAGAATAATCAGAGGAAACCTCATTCATAATGTTGTAATGAAAAGGAGTTTTTTAACTCCTATCAAGTTTTAATACCAAAATACTTGTAAAAAGATATGGATAGATTAAGCATAATTCTAGAATGAGTAGGATGTGAATTTTTGTGTGTGGTTTCTACATTGGTTTGATTTATGATAATTCATCCATATATAGATAAAAACAAGGAAATACCCAAATTATATATGCATCTATCTAGTTTTATGCAACTCGTACTGAGTTAAGCATATATCTTAAAAGAACACTGGAATTAGATACTGAATTTTCGTACTTTATTCTGCAACAATAAATACTAATGGTTGTATATGAAGCATATTTCCTGTATAGAGTTGGCTTATAAAGAAACTAAAAATGGAACTCTAATACTGTTCCTTTTTTTTTTTTTCTTCCTGAACAGTAATGAGAAGCAGTCTTAAAAAATACATGTTTTCTGGTAAAATGGTTACTTGATTTTTGACCCTAAACATTTTTGAACCATACTTTTATCATTTGTCAAACCTAACAGCAGTTATGAGTTGACCTTTTGCACTGCCTGCTTCTGACTAGTAAATCAAATACCTAAAGATGTATACCTTTTACAAGCATGGAGTGGCACTTCTTTTTACTAAGGATTACAGAAAACATAGATGGAAGGTCTGCTAGTTCCTATTATTAGCATGAGAGAAAGCATCATAGCTTCCCAAAAAAAATTAAGTGAAATAATTTCGCTGAAGTATTTTCCCCCATGGTTACAAATGAATCCTAAAAGACTATATTTGAGGAAGAATTATACATTTGGGAGGTAAGACTTTATCTTTTAGAAATGTGTTTCATGGATAACTAGTGTAAGCAAAGAGACCTTGAAGAGAGGTCACACAATTAGAACTGGGAAGATAAACCACATTTTCTGTATGATAATCTGTACATATTATCTCATTCTAATTATAGGCAAGGAGAAGTGGAAAGGCTATATTCATAATTCCTGTGAGGACTATTGAGTTAATTTCAGTGGAAAAGGCATTTGCTGGAAGAATATTTGATACCTCATAATCAAAAGGGAAACTAGAGAACCAAGCCTTGAAAGTTTGGAGGAATAAAAGAGGTCAGAGCCACAGTCAAAATCATACCTTAGAAACTTCAGTGTGAACACTAGAAAAACCACCACTGTTAGATCTAACTCACCACTAACGCTGTTGTTTAATAAATAAGGTGGTAGTGGTGTGTACCATTGAGTCAGAGCCGACTGACTCATGGTTGGCCCTCCAGCAAATTTTCAGAGGCAGTAAATTACGCAGGAGGAGATTGCTGTTCTCCTGTATAACAGTTGGTGGACTTGTACTATGTTCTTTTCAGTTGGCAGCAAAACTACTTAACCAGTAAACTGTGTTAACCTCTAATAAAATTCCAGGCTCTCTGCATCCAGTTGGCATGGATTAACATGATAGAGTAACTTGTGATTTCTACGGTGTGAATTATAAATTTTCAGTCTGACTTGGTTTTGGTGTGCTAGTGGCTTAGGAGCTGGTATTGCCAATCTGATGGTACATGATCTGAATCAACAAGTTAACTCTATGGGATAAAGCTAAGCAGTCACCTCTCATGTAATACACTGCCTCTGAAAACCCACTAGAAGTAGGGTGTGTTGCATCTTGACAGTATGCAACAACTTTGACTTGGTATAAGAGGAAATTAATAGTCAACAGAAACAAATTGACATAAATAGGATATATTAATTCATATAAAAATAACAAAAGTATGTTCATTATATGTGGACAAAACATTTTTAAAAGTCTCAGAATTTTGTTTAATATTTTTGTTTATTAATGCCTATCTTGATAAATGGCTGCTATCTCGTCTCTTTTTTAGATAAATTTGTTTGAAGTAGTTGAAAAAAATGACAAAAGATATCTTTAGCTAGACTTAGAAAATTAATTTATGTACGTTAAACCAGGCTACTCCTTGGAGGCAAGGATTCTGGGGCTTCGTCTGACATACTTTGGACATGTAAGGAGGGACAGGTCCTTGGAGAGGGACATCATGCTGGGGAGGGTAGAGGGACAGCGCAGGAGAGAAAGACCCTCTATGAAGTGGATTGATTCAGTGACTGGGGTAATCGGGATGGGTATGTCAGGCAATGCAATTGGCACAGGATAGAGCGGAGTTTAGGGCTGTTGTACATAGGGTCGCTATGAGTCGCAAATGACTCGACGGCACACAACAACAACATGTTAAGTTACGGGAGTCTAGAGGTTTTAAATTTTTTAAGTTAATTAGCATAAAATAAAAATTGTTAAAAGCCTTCTTGAATTCGCAAACGCTTTTGTATCAATTGTTTCTGAGAGTTTCCTAGTCAGCCAGTGAAGGATGTTAGTGCTTTTCAGAAAGCGGGGAGAAAAGATCATCATTTAACCACTGGTGATATTCTAAATGCATTTAAATGAAGAATTTTCTTTTGGGGAACTTTTTCTCGTAAGATGATTTTAAGCAAGAAGTGCCCAGGTGGTGCACACAATTAAGCAGTCAACCATTTAGCCCCAAAGCTACCAGTTTACACTCCCAGAAGTGTCTTGAAAGGCAGGCCTACTGATAGATAGCCTTTAAAAAGTCATAAGATCGAAAAACCTGTGGAGCAGCTCTACTTTGCACAGACAGGGTCATTGTGAGTCTAAATCAATTAAGATTGGCCAAATCGATGATATTTTGGACCTACACTGATTTAGTCAACAAATGTCTTTTTTTTTTTTTTTAACAAATGTCTTTTTATGACAAGTGTTCTATATGTTTATCTTAATATTTTCACTTGCTTTCTCTTTCTCTTAATTCACAATTTTTCTTTTGTTTGGTTGAATCAGTTGTAAGAGTGCTTGAGGCCAGTAAACTCATATGTTTGACCTGTTCATGGTGCCCAACCAATAGTAGTAGACTCTTGACAGATGGTTGTTACATAAATACAGGAACTTTTTAGGAATATTCTGCTGTGTGTGGTGTACATAAAAATGAATGGCTTATCAAACTGATAAACCACTTACTGTGTATTAAACTATCTCATCTCTGGTTTTTGTATTGCTTTATTAGATTTTAAGTGAGATTAATATTTTAATAAATTTTTTCATTTTGAACTCTTCCTACTTTTACAATATTACTACATAATAGCTAATTAATGAACTCTCTTAAGCACATTTGTTAGTGTTTATACATAAATTCTGTGTTTCAAGCCGAGTGGCATATTTTAAAATGAAAAGTTTTTTAGCCAATTGTCTGGTGTAAGAGTATACTTATACAAATGAATAATTCATTGATGGTCTTTTATAAATTAATCTTTTTCAGACCTAAAATTATGCTTTAATTTGTAATTGTCTTTTTCTAACAGGCTAAGGAAATTTTAACAAAAGAATCAAATGTGCAAGAGGTTCGCTGTCCTGTCACCGTTTGTGGAGATGTTCATGGTCAATTCCATGATCTTATGGAACTCTTCAGAATTGGTGGAAAATCACCAGACACAAATTACCTCTTCATGGGTGACTACGTAGACAGAGGTTATTACTCAGTGGAGACTGTGACTCTTCTTGTGTCCTTAAAGGTATGATTGATTAAATGCCATTTTTCTTTATTAAGGTTTAAAATAGGCAATACGCATATTTTTTATTATGTGGACATACATTCGTGTATATATAATAATGCATATAAAGGCACAATATAACATACTTAAATATAACCAGACTCATGGTGAGATTGGGTTTAAGGGATGAAGACCTTGTTCGTGGAACATATTTTATCAATTATCATTATAATTTATAAAGTTCTATTATGCATCCTAATTTTGAGTGCTATTTGTAGTCTTACACACAGTCCTCTAATTGTTCTCCTCTCAAAGGAGAAACTATAATGTAGGACAAATACTGTACAAACCAGAGGCTCATCTACCCTGAGGCCAGAGTGGTGCTTGATGTGCCTGTTTACAGTTGGTAGACTACTCTATCTCAGAGCAGATAGAGTATGAATTAACCAAAAAGCAGTAAATGTACACTTACTATTTACTAAGCATTCATTATGTGTCTACTATTAAAGAGGTATCAGGTCCACACAAGTTATTAATGGTTTTTATGATTAGGAACAAATTCAATCTTTCTAGGAAATAAAAGAAAAGCAAGGCAGTAAATCACTATGTAACATGAATGAAGGGTAAAATAATAAGTTTCAGGGTAATTTAGAGCAAGAAAGAGTAATGCTATAGCTGACCATTTCAAAGAATAAGGAAGACTTGAGCTGAGTTTTGATAGAAGAAATAAATAAGTAAGCAGGGAAAGAGCAATCCTTTGGACACACAGGATAAGGAAATAATGGATAAAGACTAAACAGTGAGAAAACACTCTGCTCTCCAGTACTGTAGTCTACCAACTATAAGCAGGCACATCAAGCACCACTCTGGCCTCAGGGTAGATGAGCCTCTGGTTTGTAGAGTATTTGTCCTATATCCTAGTTTCTCCTTTGAGAGGAGAAAAATTTGTACTTTAGAGAATTGGTTCTTTTTTATACTTGTTATATAATACACATTCCTGGCTAAATAGTATACTATATAAAGCATTTCAACTATATTTTGTCATACAAAGGAGACTTCTTAATAGATTAGAAATTTTGCCTGCGTTTGGCAAAATAATGCTTGCTTTTTTAGCAGTTACTCATTCTTTGCCATTAACTCATGCCATCGTCACTCATGCAGAACCAACTCACAGCTGAGACTGTGCATCTTTCTCCTGCAGAACTGCCAGTGATTTTGAAGAGACACAACATTTATTTATTGATTAATTGATAGTTGCATATTGTTGAATCAGATCCAACTGGCCCCAGAGGAGATTGCTCTTCTCCAACGGAGCTTCTAGTGGATTCAAACCATATACTTTTGGAATTACGGTGCAGTTTCTTGCCATTAGGCCACCAGAGCTCCCTTGAGACATGACCTTTAGAGTTAGCACAATTCCCTATGTACTGCACCACCAGAGCGCCCCAACATACATGTTGAGAATAAAAATAGGATTATGTCAGTAATTTCTTTTGCTCTTCTTCAGGTGCGTTATCCTGAGCGCATTACAATATTAAGAGGAAACCATGAAAGTCGACAAATTACCCAAGTATATGGCTTTTATGATGAATGTCTTCGAAAATATGGAAATGCCAATGTTTGGAAATATTTTACAGATCTATTTGATTATCTTCCTCTTACAGCTTTAGTAGATGGTCAGGTGTGTATGTGCATATATCTCAGATTTCAAGGGCTTGTGAAAATTGTACTGGTAATTGAAGATCCAGATTTACCTGTGTTTCTACATCTCTTTGGGTTTCTCTTTTTTTTCTAATACTTGAAATTTTAAAACAGAGCTGGGTAAGTTTTTATTTACATTTAAACCATGTTTTTCCTTGTTTTCAAATATGTGTATAAGTACTTCATGGGAAGGTACACCAAATGTTACTAATAAGTGATAGGACACATTTAGTTTATACTAGTAAACCAAAAGTATTTTTTAAAATAGTCTTTATACATAGTCTACTGATTTCCGTGAGTAACTTTTCCTTCTTATTTTCATGGTAATTCCAAACTATTACGTAGTATACCTCCTTTACAAAGAAGTATTTCAGATACAATATAAAACATTTAAAAATCTAAGAAGCAAATTATACTTGTTTCTTGTAATAATTGTTAACATAAACTAATTTAAATAAAAGCATGAACTGTAATTTTCCAGTTCTCAAAAATTTACTTTATAAAATTCCAGCTTGTCAAGAGTTACTAAGAATATAATTTGGCTATGATCTTTTCTTCATAATCCTAGCAGTCCACTACATTTTTTAACAAAGTGTTAATGTCTTTAAAGGAACTTATTTTACCTACTTTCATCAGAATGATAGAAAACAATGTGTTGTTTATTTATGAAAAGGGTATTAAATTTCAGTTAAGTTTGGTTTCAGGTTGTTGGTTTTTTTTTTAATAATCTTCATTAACATAAAACCAGACAAAGTTATTCTAAAGATTTGCCTGTTAGTGTTCATGATAAATCTAAAATGGATGACCTTAGCAGAAATTTTCTTTATAGAATGTGTTCTTGATGGCCAATATATTTTTTAAGTGTTTATACAAAGTAGACACTTTATTTCTTTAATATACTCAAGTTAAATAGTATAATCCCCTCAATAACTCTCATCTGTAATAAGCCATAGATCTTTCCTGTCATTGTACTTTTAAGAAACAAAAGAGCTAATACACAGAGACCATGGGTGATGTGTGAAAAGGGTATTCAATTTTGGTTATGGTTGCTTTCAGTTTGTTAAGCATCAGTATAATGTTTGTTAACATAAAAATTAATGGACAGATTTATTTTAAACTCTTAATTTGATAAATACATTTTGCTTTTATGTGTATAAAACATTAGACTCTTTCTCATTAAAATCAGGAGAAAAATGCCCTCTTGGTAGTTTCAGGTTTTTTGGTTTTTCAAGTTTCTTTATGAGAAATGAAAATATTTTTACTAGTAACATGATTTGTATTCAGAAAATCTGAGAAATTGAAATACTGTTAGAACGAATGCAGGAAGTGGTTGTGTTTTCAATTCAGTAGAAAATGTAAGGGCAGTTCATAAGAGTGAAGGTCTTAGCCACCAGGGTGATAATAGTAAGAATGGAAGGGGGATCAAGTATTTTATAAAATAACTAGAATCGTAACTTGAAGAAGAGAAGGAGAAAATATATTCATAGTTATCTCTGGTGAAATTTTTGTTTTCTATTGAATTTTACACACTTTCTGTACTCAGTTTTATTTAATTATACTTTGAAAAGAAGAACTATTAGGACTGAAAATTTTAGTCATTATGTAGTTGATAAACTTAACAATTGATAAAACTAACGCTTTTTCTTTTTATAATAAACAGATATTCTGCCTCCATGGTGGCCTCTCTCCATCTATAGATACACTGGACCATATAAGAGCCCTGGATCGTTTACAGGAAGTTCCTCATGAGGTAAACTTAGTAAAAAAAGAAGGAAAAAATATAATTGGTTACATATGATTGCTCTTAATTTGTAACATATACTTCATTTTCTTGATTAGGGCCCAATGTGTGACCTGCTATGGTCAGATCCAGATGATCGTGGTGGATGGGGTATTTCTCCACGTGGTGCAGGCTACACATTTGGACAAGACATTTCAGAAACATTCAACCATGCCAATGGTCTCACACTGGTTTCTCGTGCTCACCAACTTGTAATGGAGGTAGGTACTTTAATTACAGAAGAATCTTTGTTCTAAAATAAATATGTATATCTAATAAGGTTCTGGGACCTCTGGTGGCCCAGGACATTAGAGTCCACCAGCTGCTCCATGAGAGAAAGACAACAGTCCCTTTGCCTGCAATTTATAGCCTCCGGAAACTCACTGTAGGGTCAGCTAGGGGTTAGTTTTGTTCATTGGCTATGAAAGGAGTTGTTTGAGTCGTATGATTAGATTTTGTGGCTTAAAATACAAACTTTTTTTTCTTAGAGAAAAAGAATCATTTCTTTTTAAAAAAGAAAAATTTGGTCATAGGACTTTGGGATTTTTTTAGCAGTTAAACTGAAAAGTAATAGTGAATCGTGGTAAAATTATTGGCTTGTGTTTTGTGTTTTTTGTGGGTTTTTTTTGAGGTGTTTTTTTTTTTTTTTAAGCGTACTTCTTAATTTTTATTAACCGTAAGTTCACCAGACTTAATAATAGATTGATTTTAGGCTTTTACAAAAGTCAACGTGCAAAATATTTTAACTCACTTTTTAAATTAATTTAGACTTGAGAGAAAAGTTGCAAAGTAGTAGTGTCTATAAAGACCAAAAATGAGCATAGGGGCACAGAGCCGTGTCTCTCTGAAAGGGCCAAAGAGAGTAAGACCTTGAAAGAAAAATGGCAAAAATAGTAATGTCTAAAGAGCAGAAAACTGGACATAGGAGCATCTCTCTGAAAGGGCCAGAGAGAGTAAAAATAGCATAGCTTCTCATGGCCCTGGAGTAGATAAAGAACCGGTAACCCAGCCCCATGGTGCTTTCACACCAACAGTAAGAGGTTTGTTTATTGGTTGCTGATTCCCAGTTATGGTACCAACAATGGAGTTTATTAGGGAAAGAAGTTGAAAAGGGGTGGAGGTAAAGAATATCATCCAAAACAAATTAGATTTTTAGCCCAAGTTCCAAGGCACAATTCCTCAGTCCAGGCTCTGGTTTCAGTTTAGCAGTCAAATCCAAGTCATCAAGCAAGGTTTATCTCAGGACAATTAAAAGTCAGCTCTTTTAACCATGGCCTTTATCTCAGAGCTCCTCTGCTTACACCTTGCCACAGTTCCTCCACAGCAGTGCCCCACTCCTCCAACACCATCACCAGGATCTCACCAACAGGGTCTGCTCCAGTCTCCCTCAAGTCTTGCTACCCCATGTGTAAACACAATTTCTCTTATCCTATTCCCACAGCTGTGGATGATTTGCAAGATCATGTGTCTGCAGTTAAGGAAGCTGGAGACCAGAGGGGACTAACTTGTAGTGACTAAAAAAAGCCAACTTCTAGGCTAACACCACAAGTATCAAAAAATTCTTTGTATTCTTCACTCATACTCCTCAAATAAAAATATTTTTAACGTCTGTTTTATCACTGTTTTCTGTTTCACAGCTTATGGGGTTTTTTCCAAACCACTTAAAAGGAAATTGCATACTACTTTACTCCCCAAATAGTCAAATTTTTCTTAGTTTTAAATGACATTCTCTTACTGTAGCATAATTATCATCAGGACACTAACGTGTATCAAGTACTAGTAGGGAGCTCTGATGGCCTAGTGGCAAGAAGGTGCACTGCAACCCCAAAGGCTCACAGTTCAGTACAAGGCCACCAGCCACCACATGGGAGAAGGATGAGCAATCTCTTGCTGTGCAATTAACTGCCTCTGAAAACCCACTGGAGGGTCAGCTATAGGTTTGGTTCCAACTCTATGGTACACCACATACTCACGTTCTCTCCTCATCCCACTGTCTCTCTGTATTTCTCTCTATTTTATCTATCTAATCTAATAGGGTGGCTTTGTGGTAAGGAATTGTGCTGCCAACCCAAAGGTATGAATCAGTTCTGACTTTATGTTACACAACAGCAATCTAATAATCTAAACAAATTTTGCTAATTATCTCACTAATGTCCTTTACAGCAAAATTTACTTAGAGAACTATTCAATCAAGAATGGTGTTGCATTTATTGTCATGTCTCTTTCGTCTCTTTTGATATGGTATTAATTCCTGAGACCATTTTGGAGAGAGTTGGGAGACATGATCTTAATATTTTCTGAGAATATACATGATTTATTTTGTAAAAAGATCCCTCCATTTGGATTTGACTGGTGTTTCCTTAATGTTACAGGTTCAAGATAAGCATTTTTTTTGGTCAGGAATGCAGTAACACGATACTTGTGTCATTGACATTGTATCAGTAGAGAGACAGGAAATCTGTACCACTGCTTTTGACACTGACCTTGGTGCTTAGTTAAAGTGATGCCTATCAGATTACTATGTTATTACCATTTTATCATAGTTAATATAACAGATTTGTCTTAGAAAAAATGCAGCCAGAGTATTCCTTAGAGACAAGGATGGTAAAAATTCATCTAACATATTTAGGGCATGGTGCTGGGAGGCTATTCCTTGGAAAGGGTGCATCATGCTTAGAAAGGTGGAAGAAGATCAGCGAAAGAGGGGAAGACCCTGCACAAAATGATGGATTGACACAGTGACTGTAGCATTGAGCTCAAGTGGGTCAGATGATGAGGATGGCACACAGGATAGGACAGGGTTCTGATCTGTTGTTCATAGATCAGTTGTTCATGGTCATTCTTGACACCTAACAATAGAACCTAAATCCATCTCCTTCCGAATTAATAGGGAAGCCCCAGGGTGTTCGCAGACACGACAGGCAAGAGAAAAATGGTGTATTGGTGTCAAACAGATAATTATCCAGAGTATAGTTAATAATATGAGTCTTGAATAGGCTTTAAGACCAAAAAAGGTGTCACTGAGAATAAAAAGAGGTAATTACTGGTGAAAATTGGTGAAATTCCTAGAGGAAGAAGTCGTTCTAAATTTGTATTTATCTAATAATAGCTTTAAGCTGCTTTTGTGCCAAAATTGACACAATTTATAAAGAAATTGAGAAATCTGCTGTTGTTATTGCAAAGATTTTGGTACATATCTCAGCTGTGATCCAAAAAGTATACACTAGGCAAACAGCAGAGGGCTAAGAGATGAAGATTAGAACACACTGAATGAGTTCTGTGTAACAGAACCCCATATCTGACATGTATTTCATTTTTAACATAGAAGACTACATTTCTGCAGAGTATTTGTAGGTGTGAGAGGTGTTTTGTTTTTTTTTTTAATTGAATTTCAAACTTAGCTATTTTGAAATTAACTCTTCTGTTTCATGCTGCAGGGATATAATTGGTGTCATGATCGGAATGTGGTTACCATTTTCAGTGCACCAAATTACTGTTACCGCTGTGGGAACCAGGCTGCTATCATGGAACTAGATGACACTTTAAAATATTCCTTGTGAGTAATTTTCAGTTTAATTATATAAAATTTTTAGGAATTTGAAATACCGTATAGTAAATAAGTATTAAAAATAAGGGTAATAAATTTTTGCTTCTGAGATACTATGGCACAGAATGGCTAACGGTGCTTCCAGCAAAATACCATGTAACTGGAGAAAATTCTTTTAAGAAACAGCTATTTTAAAGTTTTTAAAATTGTCCCATAAATGTATAGCAAATGAAGTTATTCCAGACCCTAAGTCTCATTATTAACAGCCAGAAATTGTGGCATTTGAACTATGGCTTCCTCCCTTTCCCCAGCTCCCAGATCCATTTTACAGAAATTATTCTGGTTATTTATAAATAAATACCTGGGAGCTTCCCTTTCTATAATCTAAGACTTCAGTTTAACCCCAGTAGTAGAAGTCCACTATCATTCCTAATACACTCTAGTCCTAAGTTCTAGAAGCCCTGTTTCTGGCTGACAAACTTGAAAGGGCAGAAGCTATGTACCTTAGATGTGGCAAGTCAAGGTACTGATTCCCTGATCACTCAAGCCCCAGTCCCTGCTGATAGATCAGGGCTTTTACTCACAGAAGTGGACCACTATATGTCCCTTCAGTACTGGAGTAGTAATGCAAAAGTTCTGCCCAGAAGGAAAGACAGGCCAGAATTTCAAGCTTGGGGGCATTATGAAAAATTATGGCTATCATGAGGCACAACAATTAAGAGGGCTTTCATAACTCCTATGTAGTTGTATTAGCAAGCAAAACAGTAGAGCTTCCAGAAATTTAACAGAGAAAGAGAAGAACCTCCTCCCTGTGGTCACAGTGAATCGTGGGGGACAAGAAGGCTATATATAAATGCTTGCCTACACTCTCAGTAGTACATCAACAGACGACTGCCAGAAGTTCAAGCTAGATTTAGAAAAGGCCGTGGCATGGCACCAGGGATATTATTGCTGATGACAGATGGATCCTGGCTGAAAGCAGAGAAATGTGTATTTGTGTTTTATTGTGGAACATAACAAATTATGGAGAAAAATGGAATCCCAGAACACTTAATTGTATACTCAAGGGAACACTGTCTGGTTTAAAATCAAGAAAGGTATGCCTTAGGGCTGTGTCATTTTTCCCTATCAGTTCAACCTGTATGCTGAGATAATAATTCTAAAAGATGGACTTTATGAAGAAGAATGTGACATCAGAATTGAGGAAGACTCAGTGCCCTACATTACGCAGATGACACAACCTTGCTTTCTGAAAGTAAAGAGGACTTATGGTGCTTGCTGCAGATCAAAGACTATAGCCCTTCTTGATCTCAACATGAAAACAACAAAGATCTTCATTGGGCAATAGGCTACATCATGATAAATGGAGAGAATATTGAAGTTGTTAACAGTTTCATCCTGGATTCATAGTGAACCTCTTTGGTATAAGCAGTCAGGAAATCAGAAGATGTGTTATACTGGGGGAACATCTTAAAGGTGCTAAGGACCAGTGTTGTCCGTTTAAAGACTAGAGTGCACCTGATTCAAGTCATGGTCTTTTTAGTTGCTTCCTGTGCATCTGAAAGTTGAAATGACAAGGATGTCAAGAATTGATGCCTTTGAGTTATGTTATTGGAGAAGAATATCTCATGGACTGCCAAAAGAACAAACAAATAGTCTTGGAAAAAGTGCAGCCAGTGCTCTACTTAGAGGCAATGATAGTGAAACAGTTGGAACATTTTGTTAGGCGAGGCCAATCCTTGAAAAAGGACATCACACTTATAAAGGTGAAAGGTCAGCAAAGGAGAACAACACCCTCAAAGTGGTTCGACACAATGATTGTAGCAGTGGGCTCACATATATCGGGCATAGGAAGTATGGTACAAGATAGGGCAGAATTCAGATTCTTTACTCATTGGGTCGCTATAGTCTTGGTAAACTCAATGCCACCTAACAACATCAACACTTTGAAACAGAGCAGGATGTGGGGCAGATTTGAAAACACCCCATAATCTTCACATAATGAATCAGCAAAGCCCTTCACCAGTACTAGGGCCTTCAGCACAACTTCTGGTCAAAAACAGGCTTAGCTAGCATTCTAGAAGACCATGTACAAGCCCAAAGTTTTGCCATCAAGAGTGATTAGATATGGAATATGTAAGCTACTAAACCTTGGCCTAACAAAAGCTGAGGGAACAAAGCTACAATAAACATC